GATGACCACCATCATCCTTACCATGGGGCATTGTATGGGGTCCCAGCAGCCATATTTGTACAGTTGATCTTTCCCCATAACTCACCCATAGTTGATTTAACCAGAAATGGGATCTTGACCCAAGTGGGCTAATCAGAGGGTCTTCCTTTGGAGTATGGAATAGAGATAGGAAAACAAAGATAGTCTCTCCACAGGTCTGGGGTCATAATGAATAACATCCATCCGCAAGGCAATACCTTTTTGTTATATAGACAGAGTAAAGGCAGTATGTCTTCAGAGAGAGAATCACCAAGAGCGAAGCAAAAAGCAGCAGAGATGAGAATCTGAATACCAGTGGGTCCAGGCCTTCCTGAGGCCTGATCTCTATTCCTACCCTTGAGCTCTCTAAGACATGTGCACTGTTACACTAAATTCTTTATTTTGATTAAGGTGCTTGAGATGCTTTCTTCCCCTGCAATCAGTGTCCTCACTCTTACATCTGGTGGCAAGTAGCCAACAGAAAGGTCAGAGAATGTATAATAAAATCCAGGAACTGCATCTCTAAAAACAACTTTAAGAGGCTTGTTGTTGTGTTTAGCATTGTCTGAGCACACAGTGCTCCATCCTGTGTTTTTCAGAAATGAATACAAAAAAGTTTCAAGTCACTGAAGGATCTCTTATGCTACAGATTCTTTTTATAAAATCTAATGAAAAATAGTAAGGTTAAGGTTTATTTAGAGAAGGTGATAAACTTCCTGCTTACATTAATTCCTGCCTATCTCAAAGTTTTGGTATTATTTTCAAGATGGGTCATTGTTATCATGTAGCTATCTCCCAGGCAAACATTCTAACTAGCTTTAGGGCTTAAATGATTTTTTTGCAAAAAGACATTTAAAAAAGTTAATGTGCAACATTTTAATTGAAAAGCCATCAGTAGACATGAGCAATATTTCTGGTGATGGTCGGAAGTATGGATAATATTAAAGTACAGACAGTCTTCAATAGGTGTATATTGGATATGTTATGCATATGATGCTAGAAACTGGGAATGTAAAGATAAGGAATGGTTAAGATGGAAATTGTTCAGTAATGACACTACAAAATGGTGTTGTAACAGTCTCCTTGAGGATAACATTCTGACAACTCAGTAACTAACCCTGATGGGATACCAGGCTATTATTCAGTTCAGTTCAGTTCAGTCGCTCAGTCGTGTTTGACTCTTTGCAACCCCATGAATCGCAGCACACCAGCCTCCCTGTCCATCACCAACTCCAGGAGTTTACTCAAACTCATGTCCACCGAGTAGGTGATGTCATCCAGCCATCTCATCCTCTGTCGCCCCCTTCTCCTCCTGCCCCCAATCCCTCCCAGCATCAGGGTCTTTTCAAATGAGTCAGCTCTTCGCATGAGGTGGCCAAAGGATTGGAGTTTCAGTGTCAGCATCAGTCTTTCCAATGAACACCCAGGACTGATCTCCTTTAGGATGGACTGGTTGGTAGTATAAAAAATACATGTGTTTCTATAGCTCTGCTAGGCATATTGTGTGAAATGCCACACACTTTAGAGGAATGCTAACACTTCCCAAGGGTAGGGTGTGTGTGGAGGGTGGAGTTGGTAGAGAATCAAACTTGCTACAGTGGTCTTTGAGCCTTGCCACTTAAGTTAGCTCTAAAATCATTTAGAAAAATATGCATCTCTTTTTACATTTTGATTTTAATGTCTAAAAATTGTATTGAGTCAATTTCTAGACAGGTTGATAAGAAGTTGGGCGTCCCTGAGGAGGAGAGAGGGATCTGGGGCTCTCAAGGAGGAGAAAAGGACAAGGTTTTTTTTTTTTTCTACAGTCCTTAGTTTTAGTTTTTTTTTTCCTTAAACCCAGAGCTGATGATTATATAACAAAACAACTCAGCTTAAAGTCTGTACTAAGGATTATATAACAACAATGTATCCTGCTTGAGGATATGTTTCTCCTTCTTGAGAACCTTCTGACTAATCCTGTTATCTTAAAATGTAAATTGTGGGAGTGGGTCTAGTAAGACCTTTACAATCTTGGGACATTCTTTTGATTTATTGTAATAACCAATTAAAAAAGTATATAGCTCCCTTGCTAAGACTAGTGAGGGGGCACTCTCCATCCCCTTCTGATGTCTTTGTCAGAAGCTTTCTTTGTTTTCACTGTAATAAAACTTCTGCCACACAAGAGCCCTGAGTGGTCAAGCCTGGTCTCTCGTCCTGAAGCTAAATCTTCTTCGGAGATTAAGAATCCGGTATTGTTCACAGTAAGCTATAAGTTTAGTGGTTGCAAAGAAAAGAATTTCTGGAATATTTTATATTGAGTTCTTTAAATTATGGAATTTGTCTACCATCTCATCTAAGTGACAAAGCCAGTCATGCTAACTATCCAATCAACTAACTCAAACTTAATTTTCAGATAAAGCTGACTTATTGTTAAATTTAAATACATATGTTAAAACATGTACCAGGAAATCTAAAAAAAAAATGGTACAAATGAACTTATTTAGAAAACTGAAACAGACTCACAAACATAGAAAACAAACTATGGTTTGTTACGGTTACCAAAGGGGAAAGGGGTGGGTAAGGGATAAATTAGGAGTTGGGGATTTAACAGATACACACTTGTTTAGTTGCTAAGTTGTACCCCACTCTTTTGCGACCCCATGGACTGTAGCCTGTCAGACTCTTACTTTTATATGTAAAATAGATAAACAAAAAGGTCCTACTGTATAGCACAGGGAACTATATTTGATCCTTTGTAAAAACCTATAATGGAAAGTAATCTGGAAGAAAATATATGTATATACACATATAACTGAGTCACTTAGCTATACACCAGAAACTAACACCACACTGTTAAACAACTGTACCTCAATTAAGAAAAAAATCATGATTTCAAACTCTAAGTGAGAAAGGAGAGAAAGAGGAAAAGAGATCTCTCAGGCTGGGCTGCGGTGCCACCTACATTTGCCTCAGAGGTCTCTCCATAGTCCAGAACATACAGGTTGTCCAATATGAATCTGGAGGAGGTGTGAAACTTAAGGTTCTTTTTGAGGACTTCTGCTGGTTGTGTCCATATGAAAACTTATTTATATAGTGCAATGATTAATTTTATGTGTCAACTTGATTGGGCTGTGGAGCCCTATCGTTTGCTCAAACAATACTCGAGATGCTACTGTGAAGGACTTCTCAGATGTCATGAGCACTTACAGTCAGCCAACTTTAAGATTACTACCTCTATTGTGGGTGGGGCTCATTCACTTATTCGAAGGCTTTAGGAGTAAAGGCTGAGATTTCTTCAAAAAGAAAGAATTCTGCCTCGGGATTACAGCAGAGAAATCCTACCTGTGTTTCCAGTCTGATAGCTTGTCTGAAATCTCCTAGACTCAAGCTTACACCATCAACGCTTACTTGACTTTCCAGCTTGCAGGCCTGCCCTGCAAGTTTCATGCTTGCCAGTCCTCACTATTACATGAACAAATAACTCCTTCTCGCTTAATATACTATATTATTATCTTATTAGTACAATTAACTGTGATTATCTCATTAATATTAATAAACTATTTTATAATCCATATTGCATAAATGTAATATATTAATATATAATTCTTTATAGGAAGATATGTTAATTTTTAAGATATCTTAATATATTGTATACTCACATATTTAGACATATTAACATATTAATATGATAGTTATATAATAATTACTAATTTATTGTATAGGTTTTATAATATATTATGTTTATACATTAAATAAAAATATATTATGTATTTGATAAAAATATTTAAAATATTTGATATTTGATATAAAATATTATGTATTTGATATTAAAATGTATTTGATATATGCATTTGATATGTATGTGTATTTGATATATACACACAGAAGGATAGAAACAACAGGATATCTAACTAGCTAGCTAGCTATCTTTTTATCTATTTATATATAGTCGCACAAAACCAGTATTTCACTTAGTAACATTGTTTCTTTTTTCCCCCACTACATTAAGTCCAGACTTATTTTCATTCATGTTTGTATCCACATTGTCTGGCATATTTTAGGCACATAAGAAACAAAGAATTAATAGACGAGTAAGATCTTAATAGTAATGGATTAAAACATCATTATCTTTTTTCCTAGTGAACACTATAATTTTATAGTAAGTGTGCCTTAATTGATGATATCAAGTTTGGTGTCTGCTAATGAAGATGATTGCAGGCTGGAGATCCGAGGCGAATGCAAGCAGGAGGCACGTGTAAGTTGGCACGAAGGAACAGGCAGTTTATCCAGGGCTCTGTGATACACTGGCTTGCAGCAAATCTAAATTTCCGACCACAAATACAGGTGTGCACGACACGATGCATTCCTTTAATTTCTTAAAATTTCATGAAATCTTATTTTGAGCCCTTATCTTGTTTAGTTCATGGGAAAGTCAACCGCTTTCATTACTGGGGGATGTGATGTGTCTCTTACCCAGATGATAGAAGATGGGTATGGGGTAGGAAGCCCCAGAATCCTGAAGGGCACAGTAGGGAGTGAGGTCTTAATCATGCATGAGTCCAGCCCAGAGTCCCTCCAGGTACGCAGCTCTCAGCCTCGGATCTGCCTGCCACCGAGGACATGGAGACTTGGTCTGGGCGCTGGTGCAAGACCTCCCTGAGCAAGCTGAGAAAGGGTCTCTTTGAAAGATCTGCTGCCGACCCTGGGCACTGCCAGAAAGTGGGACATCCATCACCTTGCGCATCTTTCATTTGGGCTGAACGTCAGGTTTTGTTATTCGGTGTCATCAAAAATGTTGCTAACATAATCAGAAAAGTAAACGTATGGCTTTTTGTTTAAAAACTACTAATCATTAAATAGCTTAGGCTTTCTTCCCAGAAAAATAAATCCATGAGGTATGGAAAACTAAAGTTACCTGAATGTAACATGGAATGAAAGAAAAATATAACAAATGAAATGTTTCAGAAAATTGGTCTGCCAGAGCAATCGAAGGCATCACTTACCTTACTGGTACTTTTCTGTTGGCAAGAAAACACAAGACTGCTAGTGTAATATGAACTATCAGGAAAGCTAATCCAATACCCAGGAGGGTCCATATATCTGGAATTTCAAACCAATGAAAAAAATGTAAATATTCAGTGAAAAATATTAAGAGACTCCAAAATTCAAGTGATTTTGGTCACAACGTCACTTACTGTTCTGAGTGTTCGTAAAATCAGCAGTCGGTGGGTTAACCTTGATGTGGCAACGATTTCCCTTCCAACCTTGTGCACATCTGGAAATGAGATAAAATGTGATAGTTGGCGAAAAAAAAAAGAAGAAGAAGAAGAAGTGGAAACATATTTTAGCAGTACTGTCATGGAATAAAACAATGAATGTTAAAAAATAATGAAATACCAGGAATGTGGGTAACTTTGATATGAAACCAAAAATGCTAAAGCAAAACAAAAAAAATTAAATTTTATTATTTTCACATTATTGTGTAAGAGAATTTTTTTTCAATATTTATTCCCTCCTTGTTTTATCTGTAAGGTGGGGGCTTGATTTCTTTATCTATTTGGTGGGAACCTTATTTCATATATTGGAATATATTTCCTTTGATTCCTGTGTTCCACAGTTCCTTTGATTACTGTGGCAGACCAATTCCATATTTCCCTATGTTGGGAAAGGCCCTGATGCTGGGAAAGATTGAAGGCAGGAGGAGAAGGGGACGACAGAGGATGAGATGGTTGGATGACATTACCGACTCGATGGACTTGAGTTTGAGCAAGCTCAGGGAGTTGGTGATGGACAGGGAAGTCTGGCGTGCTGCAGTCCGTGGGGTCGCTCGGACATGACTGAGCAATGGAACTGAACTGATGGTGGGAACAAAACTCATTTCTTGTTTTCAAAAGCTGACTTCACTTTTCACCAGTGCCCAATACTACTTTACTTTTTCATTTGTCTCAAACTCTAAAGCTAGCACATTTTTCAATAGTGAATGGATTTAAGTTCTTTCAGATACCAATAGAGAATATTCAAATAATAGATTAACATAAATATAAATCAGAAACTATTTTTATTTCTCATTATAAGGGGATGATCCTTCAATTTCACAGATGTGGAATCAGATTAATAATCAAATTGGAAATACCATCAATCCTATAGGATTTCACTATCTCTGCTTTATTTAGGGTCATACGTGATGAAATTTGTAACACTGGGAACATCTGAACACTGGCAATCTGGATTGCCTTCAGAAAGTTCAGAACTGGCGACTAACTTGTGCCTCAAAGGGAAACGAGGTTTATTTCTAAGCAGCATAAGTGTCAGAATTTCTCTGGTAGAATGTGTTTGCATACAAATGTGAAAGCTTATATATACATTCCTGTTTACCAGAAATAACAAGATACAAATTAAGAAGGGTTTGGTTGAGTTTCCTGCCAAGTTCATAGTATATGTGACAAAATTGGATTAAAAACTGGCTTTTGAATGCATGTTTTTAAAAGTGTTAGAAGCAATGTTTCTTCAGCACACAGTTAATTTGTTTTCTCAGTCTCTCTTTTGACTTTGAAAATCTGAATAACCAATAGCAATTTCTTCAAAAAAGCAATAGCTTCCTTAAATATAAAAACCTTAGAGGTTCAAGGGGGCCCATAAGAATGCCTTCTTTCCTTAGTAAATATTCTTTAAAAAGTAGAAATTTAAGACAATTTAGTTGTTTTTGAAGTCTCTATTCAAATTAAAATAAATTAGAAATGTTTAAGATTAGAGTCTATTTGCTTTTTTACTCTCATAAACCTTCATAAGTGTTCTTTATCAGTTCTCAGGTTGGCAGTGTGAATCAACATGTCAGTCTTTCACATTTTGCCTTAGACTGACTTGATCTAAGACATTCGACAAAGATCTGTATTTTCTAGCAGTCATGTACAGATGTGAGAGCTGGACCATAAAGAAGGCTGAGTGCTGAAGAATTGATGCTTTTCAAATTGTGGTACTGGAGAAGACTCTTGAGGTTCCCTTGAAATGCAAGGAGATCAAACCAGTCAATCCTAGAGATCACTGAGTTTTTTTTTTTTTTAAAGGCTAGGCATCCTCTCTATTCCTTTTCATGTGCAATCTGAACTTTAGATATCTCATTCAACTATTTATTTTTTACTAGCAAATCATCAATAGTAGCATACCAAATGAAAAATAAGAGACTGACTTTTCCTGAAGAAGGAAGGCACAGATTGTTGTTTTCAGTGACAGCATTCTGGGTAGTTTTACAGTTGTTGGGGATGGAGGGTGAAGGCTCTTGTGGGGAGGAAAAGGAAAGTAGATGATCTTTTGGGAAGAACCTGGTGTGCTTTGCTTAAGCAAATGCCAACCAGAGGATACCAGTCCAGATAGGGCGTTCCCGGCACAGCTGTGAAAAGCTGGGTGGCTGGTAGAGTCGAGTGGGTGTGGGGAGTCCTGTGTAACTGTCTGATGCCAAGAGTGAGATCCCTAAAAGAATGGGGCAATGAGATTCACCCTATTTGCTTGAAAATTAAGGACCAAATAATCCTTTCTAGGTACTGTTTTAGCTATATAATGATTAGACAAGATTAAATGCAATGGTGATTCCACCTCTTGTATAACCCAACAAGATCTATTAATATAAGGATGATAAACATTATATAATATTCGTGCTAAAGACTAGGATTATTGTTGTTGTTTAGTCACTAAGTCGCATCTGACTCATTTGCAACCCCATCGACTATGGCCTGCCATGCTTCTCTGTCCGTGGGATTTCCCAGGCTAGAATACTGGAATGGGTTGTATTTCCTTCTCTAGGGGATCGTCCTGACTCAGGGATGAAACCTGCATCTCTTGCGTCTCCTGCACTGTAGGCAGATTCCTTACCAATGAGCCAACAGGGAAGCCAAAGACTAGGATCGTTCAGTCTAAATGAGAAGGCTTGTTTTGTTTTAATGTCAAGAAGAAAAGAAATGTCAGATGTGATGAGATTATTCTGGAGGTCTTGTTCATACTGAGTCATAAGAAACAGTTTAATCAAAAAATTACCTGTTAAGCTTGATAACATGTCAAAAATAACTTGTTTTTATTCAGAAAGTACACATAAGCAAAAAGTTTTTGATGAAAATTTAATTTAGTCCAAATTAATGTGAGGCTATGTGTTTTCTCATTTATTTCATATACCTAACGAGTTTAACATTGGAGCACTTCAGCCTTATCTTTTGTTGTTCAGTTGCTCAGTCATTTCCAACTCTTTGTGACCCCATGGACTGTAGCACACCAGGCTTTCCTGTCCTTCACTATCTCCTGGAGCTTGCTCAGACTCATATCTATTGAGTTGGTGATGCCACCCAACCACCTCATCCTCTGTCGTCCCCTTCTCCTGTTTTCAGTCTTTCCCAGCATCAGGGTCTTTTCCAATAAGTCAGCTCTTCGCATCAGGTGATCAAAGTATTGGAGCTTCAGGTTCAGCATCAGTCCCTCCAATGAATATTCAGGATTGATTTCCTTTAGGATGGACTGGTTTGATCTCCTTGCAGTCCAAGGGACTCTCAAGAGTCTTCTCCAACACCACAGTTCAAAAGCATCAATTCTTCAGCACTCAGCTTTCTTTATGGTCCACCTCTCACATCCATACATGACAACTGGAAAAACCATAGCTTTGACTATACAGACCTTTGTCAACAAAGTGATGTCTCTGCTTTTTAGTATGCTGTTAGGTTTGTCATAGCTTTTCTTCCAAGGGGCATTTGGAAGCATTTCAGCCTTATTTTAGAACAATGGAATTTCAAGCTGCTACTCAATTGTCATGTATGTTATTTATGACTGCCTGCCCCAAATTCATTGAAACACCCATCCTCCTTCCCTTCCCTCCATCAGATTATAAGCACTTCTATGGTTTGGTTGAGATGGAACCCCAGCCTGTCTCTAGGGCTATTTCATTTTCCTTGGTGCAGTGTTTTGCCTCAGGACCCTGTCCATCATCAGACAGCATTCCCAGTCAACAGGGATTTGTTCATAGACAGATATGGACATGAGTTGTCCAGAAATTATTCTGTCACCAGTGGGTACACATTGATGGATATTTGTGGTAAGAATTCTCCTCTGCCCAATTCTGATGTGAAGAAGGAAGAATACAGCCCTATAAAGCTACCATTTTGCTACAAAAGCCAGCCTGAGGATAACATAACCTAATGGGAAGACATAGCCTAGGAAATCATGAGAAAGGGAGAAACAATCTTAATGGCATTTCAACCTTTTCAGTCTGTTCCTGTTTCAGGTCTGCTCTGCATTCAGACTTTTTAGATACATGAGTCAATAAATTCCTTTATCATTTGAGCTGGTTTGAGTTTGGTCTTCTATTAGGAGCACACATGCAAAACCCATTTTCCTACTCTTCCATTTTGATCCCTGAAGATCTCCTCATTAAATCAATAATCCCTTATTCTTAAAATATTTATTGAATGTCTACTACATACAAGATAGGCTGCTACATAGAGAAAGGATGGACAAGATATGCTAGAGAATTGGCAGGAGCCTAAACTTAGGAGACAAAAACCTTTTTTAAACATAAATAAGAAACAAAATAGAAAACAGAATATATGAAGTAAAAGAAAGGGAAAGAAAAATGCTAAAGGAGAAGATGAAAAAACTGCTTTCAGAATCTATTTCGCCAGACTAAGAAAGTGAAAAATGTTCAATCACAACTAGACATGTATGGAACAAGCGATTTATTAAAGTGTATTTATTCCAGAGCATGAAGTGTTTATATATGTATTATATAACAATGAGTCAGAAAAAATGTTCATCTGAGTATGTAGAAATCATCATGACTGATGGGATCTGGACAGATATGTCTGAATTATGTTCAAGTTGTTAATGGGATACTAATCTAGCTTCTAGATTTCCCAGACTGAAGTATATTTTTTTGGAAATACTTACTCTATAGTTTTTTAAGTCTGAAAAAGAAAACTTCCTTCAGAAGGGAGGGATTTTGAATCCAGTGCAGATTAATCATTTAGCATTCTGGTAGTAACTTGTTTTTCTTTTTACTAGGCGTGTTTACAGTAACATTTTATGATTATTAAAATTATGAATATTGTTATAGGAACTGATATCATTCTACAATGACATTCATGCTTCAGAAAACTACAATATACTAAGCCCAATAGGGATTGGATTGAGCACCTCCTATGTGCTAAACAATATTCTAACAACTTAAATGTATTATTTGTGATATACCCATGCTACAGGACACAAGTTATCTCCCCATTTCATAGCTGAGAAAATAAAGGC